TCCTACAAAGAGAAATTTCAAAGTAAATGACAAACGCATCAAGCACTACGTGGAAGATTTTCCCACCGCCAAAGAGAGCCTTGACCTTGCTATACCAGAATGATCGCGGCACTAAGTTCAGCTAATGACTTTAAAGAAGCACTTCTTGGGAGGCAACCCAAGCCTTTTTCTTTTCGTTCCCTTATTTGTTTCTTCATTTCTGTTTAACTTTATGCTCTGTTGAGAGTCTAGGTCAAGTCGTAACTTTTCCTTTTTGTTTTGTAGGAATACTCTTAAGCGGGAATTACATTTTGTGAACGGAAGAAACCAAGCTACGCCCCGCAAGGGGGGTGATACTAACATGGAAGGAAGTATTTAAAAAAAAATCGCGTGTGGCACCACAACGCCAAGTCGGGGCCCCCTTTTTTTTACTTATTTTTTTCTTTCTTTTTATTTTTTGCATTTATATCTTACTCACTCACCTCCCCTTCCATTTTAAATTTTTTCCCCAATTCAATTTCACCCTAACTCTCTCTCCCTCCATCTTCTCTTTATTCTATATTTCACTTATAGTTTTTAACACACAATTTCCTTACCACTTTATATCTTAAGTACATCTCTTTCCATTCCACCAAGATTTTGGACTTGCCACAAGATTCAAGGTTTGTGTTTATATGTGCTTTAGTTTGTAGTGGTACTTTAAGCTTAACACATCACAACACTTGTTTGGCATTTGAAAATTTTAGTGGGCTATGGTGGATTTTGTTACCATAACAATTGGGGTTTGTGATTTTTTTGCTTGGATTTAAGTTTGGGGGAGATTGACTATATGAATATGTGAACTATACTTTGCATGTAAGGTGTTTGTTGAAATGTTCCAATGACTTTTATTTCCTTATGGGCACCAATTGTACACTTTACCCTCGTGTGTCATGTCATTGCAGTACCTTAGTGCAGATTTAAGTGGTTCGAGGTGTTTAGTTGTTGCAGTACAAAATGCCACCAAAGAATAAATCGAAGGCCTCACCATCCTCATTAAGCATTTTTTACACAAGCAAATTTGTGAGTGAGGAAGCGGAAGGCAGATACTATGACATGTTTGTACACAAGAACTGTATTCCAGAGCGGGGATTCGATGATTTGGAACCTTATATTCAGGCGCAAATTGAGGGCTGAAAATGGGAGCATTTTACAAAACAACCACAACCAGGACTGATACCAGTGGTGCGGGAATTTTATGCAAATGCTAAGGAACACTAGGATTTGAAAATCTATGTCAAAGGAAAGTAGATCCATTTTGACAGTACCACAATTAATCGGTACTATGGATTGCCAGATATAGAAGATGATGATTTCTCAAGATTGCGTGATGAAGGGGCGATTGATTCGGAAGTTATAATTAGAGAGTTAGCCCATCCTGATGTCTCGTGGAAACGATCTAGCTCCGATGTCGCCAAATTTCCAGCTGTAGGTATGTTCCGCGAATGCAAAGCATGACACTATTTCATATGTGGTAAACTTTTACCCAGCAGTAAAAAGTGACCAAGGATCGGGCATTACTAAATTTTATTATTTATCAAGGCCTCAGCGTAGACGTGGGCACAGTTATTCAAAACAACTTTTTACGATCACTGAGAGGAGCTACAACTGCCGATTTAGGCTATCCATCCTTAATCTATGCCTTATGTAGGAGGGGTGAAATTCCAACTGATCCTACTAAAGAGATAGTTCACACTAAACCTGCTGTGACTAAAAAGCTGATTTGGCAATTCTTTTCCAAGCAAATCTTTGCAAATGCTCACTCACAGGGTACTGAGGCACAGCTATCTCGACCTAGTCCTCCGCCACCTGCTAGTTCCAACACCGATGACATTACTGGGCGGATTGAGGCTTTACGGCTACAACTGACCCAAAGACATGCTAAACTGGAAACACGAGGTCAAGAACAATATGATGGACTTCAGCATCATTTAGCACAATTTCAATCCTCTATGACCAATCGGTATCAGCAATTACAAAACTCCATGCATACCCGATTTCAATACCAAAATGAGTTCTTTTTAGTGCTGGCGTCCACCCATCCCAACTTGTCATTTTCGACACAGCCAACATATCCACCGTATCCAGCCAACCCGGATCCCTCTCAACGGGATGATGGCGAGGGCCCCCACAGTTGATTTCAGGGAAGTCTTATTCCTTTAACTCTTATTTTCTTTACATTGCGGACAATGTATGGTTTAAGTTTGGCGGGGTAATCATTTGGGTTACTGGCTATTGGCTCTTTTTGTATGAATGTGTGCCTATTATTTCATTGTGTGTGAATGTGTGAAAAAAAATTTATATCTGTATATGTTGCGTGCTTGTGTGAGTCGGATGGTGTTGTCCGCCATGATGAATATATTTGAGACCATGTGTTAGTTTGTGGACGGTGGAAGATTTATATGCTTGAGCTGGGTTTTACTTATTATGTGAAGCAGTGTAATATTTATGCACGAGTATTAAGTTTAGCGCTGTACAGACACATGATGGTTCATATGCATTTGCTCAATTGATAACTTAGGTATTTGACCTTGTATCCCATGATTTACAACACCTTTTCACCACGTGTTTAATGATTTGGGACGTTCGATCGAGTGAAAGAAGTAATTTAAGCTTGTGATGATTCCGTCCATGTTACAAATTTGTGTGGAGTGTATTTAACTTTCTGGTATAAGCTTAGTGATGACCACAAGCTAGAGATCTATCCTTTATAAATTTCGCTTCATTTTATAGAAATGAAGCATTGCACTCCTAAGCTACACTTCATACCTGCACCTTTTTTACTTGAGTTATTAAGTCCGTAGGGGTCCCTCAAACCTGGTGTCCTAAAGTCGTCTGACTTGGGAGTTACCGACCTAACACTTGCTATAGGGGTCAATAAGAGGAAAAAAGGGTGAGGTTAAAAAAAATGTTACAAAAGTGTTTGTATACAAGTTAATACACAAGAGAACTAAATTTGGGGACAAAGATATCTAGTAGTTTTGAATTACTTGGTATAAACTAGACTGTTGAAACATTCAAAATTGAGGAGAATCATTACATGAATAAATTATTGACATCACCGGTAGAGCTAAACCAAATTAGAGTGGCGTGAGACATTGGCAAGTAAAATTAAAACCTTAAAACCACATCATGGTGAGAGAGTAGAAGAAAACAAGTTTGGGGGTGTGTGAATCTCATAAGTTAAAAAAGGAAAGAATTGACCACAAAGGATTGGGGAATGAACTAACTTGTGAAGGTACAACATTGCACTTGATCTCTCTCACACACACAACTGTTTTGCATAGCATAAGTGAATAGTTGGCTCTTGTATTGCGATCTAGAAACCGCTCACGAATGTGACATAATGTTCTCAATGCTGAACCAGAAGGTGAGCCATCTGACTGAATCATTATTTGTGTCTTTAGTTGGTTTCCTTTTTTTGTGTGTTTACTCGAGGACTAGCAAATGGTTATTTTTTGGGGTATTTGACGAGTATCATTTACTCAATAGTTTATGCAAATTTTAACTTGATTTTAAGCTAGAATTCACGAGTGTAGAACGTTTTAATGTGTGTATTAATGTTGTTTTATAGGTTTGTTGAGATGACGAAGGATACGAAGAAAGATCATTAAATTGAAGTTAGTAGCATTGACAGAAGAGAAGTTGTGACACAGGGGCAAAATAGACAAAGTAAAGATGGGACGAATGGCACCAAAAATCAATAAATCAAGAAAAACCAGAGTGTGGGCTCCTTGTGTCCACGTCGAGACAAAAAAGGGTGGCGTTGCGGCGCCATACCATAAAGTGACGCGGCATCGCATCCCAGGCACCGCGCACAGTTTCTCTAGGGCGTAATTTTTGGCCTGTTTTGGAGCCCATGCAAGAAACCTATTATTCTCACACGGCAAGGGACCTATAAATACGTTTTTTCTAAGACTTTTGGGAGGTTCTACATATTCTAGACGCAAAAGCACTTCTTGAGAGAAGAGAGAGAAAGAGAGAGAGAGAGAGAGAGAGAGAGAGAGAGAGAGAGAGAGAGAGAGAGAGAGAGATTAAAGGGAGAAGACAACGCCAAATTCATTGTGTGAAGTATAAATTGAAAGACGAAGGAATTATTGGTGCAAGATCCACCTTTTTTTCTACAAATTTAATTCTGAATCCGGTGATGTACTCTAAAACAAATTGTTGTTGCTCTTCTTTTATTATGCGTAGTTAAATTCATTATTAGGAGAAATAATGTAACCCATTTGAGATCCTTTATAATTTCTTATTAAGATTATTGGTTTTTAATTTTTTCATGTGTTGATTCTTGTTATGAATTGATTGCATTAAATTATCTGATCAATAATTTGATGAATTTTGTGAATCCTTTACAAATAGAGATATGAATTTAGAATTTAGACCATGTAGTAAAATCCAATACATTGGTATAACGAGTAGAGATACCTATGCCATTTATTGTGATCATAATTGAATTTCTAAGACAAAGAACTCAATTAACTAAGATACATTTACATAGAGATATTAATTTAATTAGTTGAGTAGGCTCAATGAAAACTTGAGATGTGTAAATTGAATACAATAGGAGAATTACACCGAACACTACATTAGAATTAAGTTTTAATTTGAGATATAAATGTGATCAATATGTAAAATTATTCTGCCCTAACGTCCTCTAATTATTTGATCTTACAAGTTTTTGGTGTGAGAATTTATTTATTGTCCAAAATTAAGATTTAAACCCAAATCATTATAATTTTTAATTTGTTTTCATCAAATAGTAGTTAAAGGAAAATTGAATTAAGTGCTAGAAAATAGTCCTTGTGAGATCGACAATCCGGTCTCTTAAATTCACTATTACTTGTTACGGTTCGTACACTTGCGAAACTAAAATTTACAACAAAGCTACTATAAGGTAGTTTTGACCACCATAACAGTTCTTTTGGTGAAGTCTACAGAGACAAAAATATTAGTAGAATGAAGATGAGTTTACTCTATACCTTGCAGTATTATTCCCCAAAAGAGAAGCTTCAATGTTCTTAAGACTATCTTTCTAATCGCTGACTTGACCTTCGGAATTTTCTGCAACATTAAGATGTATTTCTGTCAAAGCAGTAACATCATACAACTTACATTTTCAACTTTAGATGATGAATGTCATCTTCAATATCCTTTTCGCGGAAATGGAAAATGACAGGAACACGGGAAAATCAAGAAAAAGAGAAGCCGTGCCTTAAGGGCGAGGGCTATTGCAACCCCAACAATGAAGAGGAAAAATGGCATTACAAAATCAGCCAACGTGCATCCATTCCACGGCGAATGATCAATCCGTGAATATGCTCCTCCAGCATCATCCACGAGTATCATCAACTGCAAATAAAATTTCCAGTTAAGATGTCGAAGTTCAAGTATAGTTTGCAAACAAAATATCTATGTACTAGATTGGCTTTAGTTAATTAGCCTTATACCACTATGGTGAGGCCTCTAAATGCATCCAAGGTTGCAACTCTCTTAGTCTTTTGCTTAATCAGCGGTTGCTCCTCCTTCTGCTCCCCAGGCTGGTCGGATATTGTCACGCACTTTTCCTCAATCTCATTGCTCGTGTGAATGGCTATCCTGTCTTTCTTATCTTGACGACTAGTTCCTTTGTTATTATCATTATCATCTTCAACTACAAGTTGTGTACTGGTGCCAAACCCTTCTTCCAACCTCTTTTCAATTGAATTCTCCATTGAAACTTGGAATCTCTAGTTGCTACATTGCAAATTCTGATGTCACTATATAAAGAACTTAAAATTTTGATAAATTAAGAGTTAGAGAACGACAAGAATAAAGTCAAATCAAATGCCGGCCACAGTTGGAAATTGACTTGGATGAGTAGGGTCCCTAGAGGTAGAGAAAGAATTCATAATTGGAAGATTGTTGTGTTCAGACAAATTTATTGTCCATTAAATATGATAATGATCAACTAAATAACAGTAATCGTGTTATATATATCTTGGTGACGAAACAATAAACAACAATGATTAGTTTTTGTTACTTTGAAATTTCGGAACATGCTGCCAATTATGACACCAACTTCCCCTTTTTTT